TGCCGGGGAGTAGGGCTCTGTGCAGTCATCCTCTGCCCCCAGCTGCCCTGGTGGTCACAAGTACCCTGGGCCCCTCCAACAGCGCCAGAGAGATGGCTGGGCTCTGTGGGCAGGAGCATGATGGTGACGGGAGGCATGGCGGCTGAAGAGCTGTCGGTGCCTTGAGCACCATCAGGGCCATACTAGCCTGGTACCAGGAGCCCCAGGGCCTCTCTCACCAACCCCTCCTTCCTCCCGGCAGCTGCGGCATGAAGCTGAACCTGGACTATCTGCTGGAGATGCTGTGGGAGTACCTGGCCCTGACCTGCATCTACACCAAGAAGAGAGGCCGTGAGTCCGGTGCAGCCGCCCTCCCCCTTTTGCTGACCCTGGCCTAGCAGGCTCCATGTGAGAGTGTCTCCTGTTTCCAAGCCAGCACCATCCTCTACGTGGGCCCTAGTGGCACAAGAAGCTGAGTTCCAGGGGGTGCTGAGGGGGAGGCTGCCCAGCAGTGACTTCCCCCGCGGTAACAGGCCCCATATCCAAGCTTTAGGGACCCAGTAGCACAGGAGCCTCCCCCAAGTCCCACCCCTGAGCACACACCTCACAGCTGAGTCTGGGCAGTTAGCGTCAGCAGAGGGAGACGAGCTGCCTGGCTGGAGCTGGTCCAGCCCAGGTTCTCCTGTGGGTCCCCTTGGCCAGGGCTCTCATGGCTGACAGTCTTGCAGGGGTCTGCACCGGGACGGGGGTGTGTTTTGCTTTTCCGTGTCGAGTCGAGGCTGTAGAGCCTGCCTGATTGGGACTCTTAGTGAGGGTGTGCTGGAGAGTAGGGGGGAAGTCGGTGGAGAGTAGAAGGGCCCTTGTTCCCTGTAAAGAGGAGCCTTGTGGCATCGCACCCTGATTCTGCTGACTCCCACCTACCCCCCGACCCGTGCAGAGAGGCCGGACTTCACGGACGCCATCATTCTCCGGAAGGGGGCCTCTGTGGAGCACGTGGTGAGTGAGACCTGCCTGGGCCAGGGGTGGGGAGCCCCTCCTGTCCCCTCGGGGTCCTGTCTGATGTCCTCCGGGCCCTCAGCCGACCCTCAGCCACGTGCAGTCAGGCACTGGGCGTGCATCCCACCACCCGGCTGTAGTCAGGGGCGTGGAGCAGCATCCACGGGTTGGGCACAGGCTTGCTGCCCGGCGCAGGGATGCCCAGGAAGCAGTGGTCGTCACCATCCTGTCACATCAGAGCTGCCAGGTCCTCGGGGCCCTCCAAATGTTCAGTCAGGAAAGCTGCCACCCTGGGCAATTCCGGGTGGTTCATTCCAAGTCGTGTACCCCAAATGCTGGCCCTTCCATGTGCCCACTACCCCAGGGGACTGAGTGTTGCCTGCACCCCCTCACCAGGGAGTCTGTGCTTAACAAAGGAGCACCACTGCCTGCCAGAATCGGGTACTTTGTGGTTGGCAGACTCCAGTCCCCCAACCCCAGAGCTAAACAGTCCCACACGGGGGGGACTGCAGTGACCAAGGGATGGGGCCGCAGCCTGTTGACCCAGGTGCCGTTGGGAGCTGGCCCTCCCTGTCGCTGCCCCCTGCATCTCCTGTGGGCACAAACCCCAACCCTCTCAGGCCCTTGGCCACCAGCTCCAGAGGTTGTGGGGCTTCAGCCATGCCAGAAAGGAAAGCAGAGAAGCTGGGAGCAGAAGGGTGTTCCAGGCAGTAGGTGGCAGGTACAGAGACCCAGAGGCAGGAGCAACCATGGGGTGTGGGCCGTGTGCTGCCAGCTGGCACGGAGGGTGCAGGGGCGAGGCTTGCTGCAGAGGGGCCTGGGTCTCGGCCCAGGGAGGCCTGCCCTGCAGGGCCTCGCTCCCTGGGATGCTTGCCCATCTGAGGGAGCAGCTGTCAGGGCTGCCACTCTGGCATGGGGGCAGAGGGCCTCTTCTAGGACCTGGGTCCTCCTGTGGCCCCACAGCCCGCGGGTGCCCTGGAAGCGGGAACATCCGAGTGGCTGTGAGCTGAGGCTTCATGAGGCTCACTGTCCCACTCTCCCTTCCCCCAGTGCCACCGCATCCACCGGTCACTCGCCAGCCAGTTCAAGTACGCGCTTGTGTGGGTGAGTTTCGGGCAGGGCGGCCCCGGAGTCAGACAGGTGCCCCTGTCCTCCCACGCGGGGACCAGGGTGTCCGTCAGTCCTGCTGTCCAGATGTACAGTACACATGCTGACCCAGACCAGACACGGGCCTCCTGCTTTGGGATCCAGGGTGGTCTGACTCCTGGGAGTCCTGCTGTTGAAGCTGCAGGGTTTGCCTGTGCTGGGACCCCCACTTTAGACCCCAGCACTGCCCCACCCTTCTCCCGTGCAGCCTCAGCCATGTGCTTCAGAGGCTGACAAGCGCCCCCTCACCCCCCAGGGCACCAGCACCAAGTACAGCCCGCAGCGGGTGGGCCTGACACACACCATGGAGCACGAGGACGTCATCCAGATTGTCAAGAAGTAGCGCCCCCCACCCCCACCCGTGGGACTCACTGGAGCCCAAACCAGCAGAATACACACACCCTGGGAAGGGGGCTCATGTCTGCTGTTTCCGCATTTCTTCAGTGGGCAGATGATAAGGAACTCACTGGGTGGAGGATGAGGTTGGGTGGACTCGGCCGGGGTGCTTCCTGTGAGATGGGCCCCGAAGGGGTCCTGAATGTGGGTCCCTGGGCCTGTGCCCACCCCACTCCTGGTGCAGAGGGAGGTGGTTGCCCAGCTCCCCGCGCTGGGGCCCGTGCAGAAGCTGGCTCCGTGCGGGCGGGGACCCAGGCCTTCCTGTGTCCTGGGGGCCTCTCAGCTCCTGCTAGCTTCTCTGGTTCTTAGGGAGGGGGCTGCCCCAGACAAACACCCATCCCTACCGCAAACCCACCCAGGACTGCCCTGTGATAAAAACCAGAGATCTGGGGCTTTAAAGGCACAGTTCATGCCCTCCACGGCCTGACCAGTCCAGAAGGGTCACCCCTTCTCAGGGCAGCTCCTGCCCAGCACAAAACCCAGGACCCAGCCTGGTTGATACCCCTAAGGTGGGGAGTTCAGAGTCTGGACTCTTTTCTCTCTGAACCCCATTCCCTCCCCAAATCTTGGCTCTCCTTTCTGAAATAAAAAGGTAACCACGATTCCTGTTTACTAGGACAACGTGTTAAGTTTGCAGAACTCAGTTGCCAGCTGAGAGTCAGAGGCAGCAGTGAGTGGGTGGAGCCTGGGCTTGGGGGTGCGGGGTCGAGGGGGAGTGGGGGCTTCTGCAAGGCTCTGCGCCAGGAGGGTGGCCAACACCCCCAGGAAGCTCTGCAGTGAGAGCGGGTTGGCTCCTGCTGCTTCTGCAGGCAGGGTGGAGGGGCCCTCCCAGGGATCGGGGGGATGGTAACACACTTGGGGGACAGCCCAGTGCTGGCTGGCAGGTAGGGACAGAGCCCCAGGGGGTCTGGGGAGGGGCTGGAGCATGGAGCAGGCCCACTGCTCTGCTCTCCCTGCTGTTCTTGGCTCCTCTGTCAGCTGCTCAGGCTCCTTTCCAGTGACAAAACAGGAATAATGGACATTATTAAATATGCATGGGGCCCAGGCGGGCAGCGGGGTGGGCTGGGCTTCTCTCCCAGGACAGCTTTTCCACTGGCGGTCGCACTGTTGGGGCCTGGCCACAGGCCCCCCATCAGCCGGCATGTGGGCAGGGAGCGAGCCACAGGACCCAGGTAAGGTGACTTGGCTTGGGCCCTTGGGGTCTGCCCCCAGCCCCCTGGGTGCAGGGGTAGGGGGACGCAGTGGCTGAGCTGGGGCTTTGCCCTGACGCACTGTGAGGTCCATCTTGGCCTTGCTTTCTTCATTTGTGAGACATGCGTGATGCTCAAGGCCCAGTGCAGTTCTCTTGATGGTGGGCTGCTCACTTCAGCCCCCTCCCCTGCCACGAGGTCCCAAGGGAGGGGTTCTGCCCAGGTGATGGTTGCCTCACATGTGGGGAAGGGCCCTGGGCTCACAGGGGTCACCTCCAGGCCTGTCTGTTCCACACTTGGGCTGGGGAAGGATGGGGATGAGGCCAGAAGTCCGGGTGTCCCTGGCCAGTGTCTGGTTGGGAGGCATGACTGGGGCTGTGGTCAGTGGCCCCCCACGTCCCTCCACATGGGGGGATTGTTTCTGGGGCAGTCTGAGTGTCCATGTTGGGTCCTGGGCCTTCTGGATCTGTGGTCAGCAGAGTTATGCTGTCTAGTCTGCGTGAGGCTAGGTCAGCATGACCTGGCCCCTCATAGAGCCTTGTGCTGGGGAGGTGTCCCTGGGGCTGGAGGAGCCCCAACACCCACCTAATCCTCCTCCCTGACTCTCCACCTGGACCCACGGTCACCCCCCACACCTCTTGCTTCCCAGACCAGACTTGTCATCTCCCCACACCTCCCACTTTGCCTCGGGCCCCAGGCCAGCTCACACGGCCATCTTTAGGGCTGCCCACTTGACCTGAGCATGTCCCCTACCAGAGCCAACCAAGGCCCAGCCACCGTCCCTGCACCCCGTCTCCACATAGTGGCCCCCAACACTCTGCAGCCAGGGGTCCAAAGCTCAGAGACCAAATCTCCCTGAGACCCATTACAGACCTGCATCTACGTGGGGGAGGTGTAAGATGTGGGGCCCAGCACGTAGTACAGCTCAGCACACTTGGTCACTTCCACTTTGAGAACACAGATACGCTTGCAGCACGCCAACAGCTCAGAGCCTGGCCGTGTCCCCCACTGCTGGAGGGCTCACAGTCCCGCCCCAGCCCCCAGCCTCACCCGGTTCCTCCACCTGCCATCCTGGCCACTTCTCACTTGCACTCCACTTCATTCCATCCCTCCTGCAACCTGGTCTCTGCGCATGCTATTCCATCTGCCTGAAAATTGTTCCTTCTTCCATCTGAACTGCTCCCTCATCTCACAGATCTTGGTTCAGAGTTAGCAACTCAGGGGGCCCTCCAGGCTTCCCCTGCAGCATCCCACCCCCCCCCCCCCCCCACGTCATAGCCTGGCCTTCGCAGCTCTTCCCAAGGCCACAGTCCCTCCTTATTGGTGTGGCTTTCTGCTTAATATCTGTATACCCCTGACGTTGGGAGCCGTGGGAGGGTGGAGGCTGTGCCTGGTTCTGCTCCACTTTGTGGCCCCTAGCCCCGCACGGTGCCTGGCAGGTGGCAGGTGACACATGAATGAACGAGACTTATTCCCTGACAGCCGCTCTTTGACTGTGGCCAAGGCTGGGGACCCTGAGAGAGAGGCAGGACCCTCAACAGCTAGAAAGCCCCCTTCAGAGGCTATAGGGTGCCACCCTGCCCCCAGTTCCACATGAAATTTGAGGAGACTGAGGTGGGGAAAGGGGCCCAGGGATCCCTCCTGGAGCCACACCTCTGCTTGCCCATGCTGGGTATCCTTGGCAGCTTGGTGTTTGTCTGGGAGTCCGGCACTGGGCTGCGGCCATTGACTTGCCAGGCAGCAGGGAACCTCGGGTAGGCATCCTTGGGCTCCAAAGTCCACTGTCCAGATGAAGAGACTGTTGTTCAGAGAGGCCAGCTCAGCCATAGCAGAGCCCATGTTCTCAGAGAGGGACCCCAGGGGTTCTGGGGATGGCTCAGAGCTCTGGGTCGGTCCCATTCCCATCTTGGGTCTGACACAGCGAGTCATGTGGCCTCTTCCCTGGGCCCCTCGACTGTATGTAAGCATGGGCACTGGGGCACTGTCCGCTTCCAGAGCTGAGGGACCCTCTGATGAACACAGAGCCAGGCAGCCTACCATTAGTACCACAAATACAGTTGCTCCAGGCCATGGCTCCCGTCTGCTCTGAGGAGGTGGTCTGGGTGACACGCAGGGTCTCCCCACACCTCCCTCTGGTCTCTGCCACCGGCTCGGTCCCTAGCAGCGCAGCCCCAGGCTCATTGCTGGGGCCACTCCTCCGCACACCCCCACCCCAGTGCCGTCTTGCCAAGCTGCAACCTTGGCACCACCCAGACGCCACTGACTTGACGGCTGCTGTCAGCTCTGATCCATGCAATTCCTGCCAGCTCCCCAGACAGTGGATGGCCCAGACCTCCATGCGCAGGGCTGATGTCCAGTCCCTGCCTGCTCTGCCCATAGCCTTGTCTGCTGGCCGCCTCCACTCTCCCGCCCGGTTCAGTGAGGGACCCTGGCAGGCACTCTTGGTTCCACCTGCAAACACACTGGCACCCCCCCACTCTGTCCTCTGCACCGCCCCAGCCTTGCCCACCTGGACCACTGTGGTGGCTCCCACAGCAGCTTCTGCAGTGGCTGGAGGGATTCTGTGAAGACCATGGAGGTCCGATTCCACCTCTTCTCTGCCACAGCTCTGGCCAAGTGCTCACCCATGACCTCCGAACCCACCCCCACCTCTGCTGCTCACTGTGCTCTGTCACCCTGGCCCTGCTGCTCCTCCAACATGTCAGGACCACCATGCTCCCCCCAGGCCTCCCTCCCTCCCTCCCCTCCTGCAATTCTTATCCTGGGTATCATTTCCGAGGTACCTCGCCCAGGCCCCTTTTGGTGCTGCCTCCCTGCATTATTTCAACACCAACACTCAAACCATCCGACTGCCTGTATCTTTCACTCACTCACCTTATTTGCTGCCCAGGATGTCAGCTCCATGAGGGTAGATTTCTGTTTTCTTAGCTGTGTCCCCAGTGCTTAAATGGCGCCTGGTGCGGGACAGGCTTCCAGCAAACACTTCTCAACCAGTGAATGAACAGACAAGCCAGTGTTCACTGTCCCGAGGGACTGGGGCCAGGCTTAGGAGGGGTCTGGGGGAGCAGGGACAGGGCCCGGGCAACTCCCACTGGCACTGGGCCCTCGGCCCCAGACCTGGAAGGCCAGCTGAGCCCCTGCTTCCACCCAGTGTCTGGAGCTTCCCCCCGCCACATGATAGCCTGAGCACCCAAGAGCCGTGAGGCAAGGGTCACCTATTAAGAAGGGTGATTCTGGACCACCAGACCTGGTCGGAGCCCAGTTCCGCCGTCCCTAGCTGGTTGACCTTGAACAAGTCACTTCACCTCTCTGTTTCCTCATCTGGAGAGGGGAGTGGATGGTCCCCCCACCACAGCCTGTTGTGAGACCCTCATGGGAAAACAGTGGCTAGGGTCTCAGTTGGAAACCACCTCCGGGAGAAGCAGTGGGGGGCAGGGTGTTGGCCTGTCTGGGTTCAAAGTGAACCCCTGCTCCATGTCCCCTCCAGTGGGCAGCAGCCACAGCCCAAAATGAGGTGGGGGGACAGCACCAGAGGAGGTGATGGGGGTGGATGCCCCCTTGAGATCCCACCCTGTGGGGGCCCAGTTCCCACATGCCCCCCAGGAAGCTGCCTGGCTGCTCTGGTTCCCACTCCCTGGGGGCACCAGCAGCCCCTGGCCCAGCCCCCCACACCATCCCCTGAACTGCTGGGCACCAAAGGGCTCTTGGTGAGTCTTGGGGGAGGAAAAGCAGAGGCAGAGAAGGAAGCGATGGGGCAGAGGGAGTCAGAGGAGGGGAGGAAGGGGGTGCATCTGCTCACACACCCACCTCTTGGCTCCTCTCCTGTCTGAGAAGGGCCTCTCTGCATTTCATAGCTGAGTAAACTGAGGCTCCGAAGGGTCGGCAAGTGGTAGGCCCAGGGCCAGAGCACCTCTGCCCCAGGGTCTCTAAGGAAAATCTTAAGTTGATCACAGAGTTGGCTGTGGGGTCCAAGGACTAAACTGAAGTCCAATGAGTGGAGAGCCTGACGTTAGCTGGAAACCTGTCCTCAGTTCCCCAGGCCCTGATCCTCGATTCCTGGGCAGAGGTGGGGGAGGGAAGAGACTACCCAGGTCTTGGGTCCCAGAGGTGTGGCCCCTAAGTTCTCCCCCGGCCCCCTTCATCTAACAAGCTTCAGCCCCTGACTCTCATAGTGCGGGTTTTTTAAGTGGACTGGTCACCGGCCAGACAATGGGCACATGGCTTTGGGTCAAGTGGCCACCCTGGAGGAATCAGCTATACCTGGAGGGGGGCCACAGGGCTGTCTCAGCAGCGGCAGGAACTGAGAGGAGTGGCAGGGCCAGGAAGGGGCCTGGGACACGGGCCACACACATGGTGCCCCCAGTCAGGGATGCTGCCCAGCAGCTCCATCACATCTTGTTTCCTCTGTGAAGAAGACAGGGTGGGGTCATCACTCACTCCAAAGGAGGAAACAGGCCCAGGGAAGACAGGGCTTTCCCGAAACCACACAGCCCATTGGCGACAGAGCTGGGGCCAGAGCCAGCCAGAGCCAGGCTCCACCCATCCTCTGCTTTTGCTCCTCTGCACCCCTTGCCCTGGCCAGGCATGTGGCCCCACCAAGCCCTGCTGGAACTGAGATGCCTCCTTCTTGCCCTGCCTTCTGAGCCAGCAGCCTGGTTCTCCCCCAATAAATTATTCACACTACTGAGAGCTGGCCAGCTCTGGTTACAATGACAGCAGTCCTGAGCACCTGCCTTGCCCACCATCCCTCTCCCTTACCTAGGACCTGGAGGGTCCCAGCTTCCCCTCCAGGGTTACTTGCTGGCCTTTAAACGTCTGGCTTTGGCTCAGGAGATGGGGCTCCATTTGTGGCCCAGAACAGAGTTGCTGTGTGGTTTAGGGCAGGAGGCTCCCCCTCTCTGGGGCCCAGTTGACCCAAGCGCTCACTTCTGTGGGTGGGTCAGCAGAGGCTTGGGGAGGGCTCAACTGGGGTCAGCATGGTTCTCCCTGTGGAGATTGTAAGGCCAAGTTGTCGCCCCCGCATGGGCCTGCCAGGCCTCCCCCGCTTCCAGTAAATAACACCCAGGCACTTTCCACCAGCCTTGAGGGTGAAACTCTAGGAGGAGCCCGGAGGAGATGAATTATGGATGTGCCCCCTTGAAATCCTGGTCCCGGCCAGAAGGAGCTTGGCTGAACCTTCCCAGGCCACAGGACCAGTCCCAGCTGCTCTGAGTCAAAGGAAGCTGCATGTCCAGCCACAGGCAGGACACTTGGCAGGTCCCCGTATCCCCAAGGTCCTGAGCTTTTGACACCAGACGATCTGGGAGGGAGCAGGTGACCACCATGGCAAAGGAAGACGAGGATGAGAAGAAAGCCAAGAAAGGGAAGAAGGGGAAGAAGGCACCGGAGCCGGAGAAGCCCAAGCGGAGCCTGAAGGGGACGTCGCGGCTGTTCATGGGATTCCGAGACCGCACGCCCAAGATCTCCAAGAAGGGCCAGTTCCGGAGCGCCTCAGCCTTCTTCTGGGGCCTCCACACAGGCCCCCAGAAGACCAAACGCAAGAAGAAGGCGCGCACCGTGCTCAAATCCACCTCGAAGCTCATGACGCAGATGCGCGTGGGCAAGAAGAAGCGCGCCATGAAGGGCAAGAAACCGTCTTTCATGGTGATCCGATTCCCCGGACGGCGAGGCTACGGCCGCCTGCGCCCGCGCGCCCAATCGCTCAGCAAGGCGTCCACGGCCATCAACTGGCTCACTAAGAAGTTCCTCATCAAGAAGGCCGAGGAGTCAGGCAGCACGCAGGCCACGCTAGACGCCTGGCTGGACCGCTCCGGCTCCCGCGTGGGCTCGCGCAAGCTGCCCTTCCCGTCGGGCGCTGAGATCTTGCGGCCGGGAGGCCGCCTGCGCCGGTTTCCGCGCGCCCACAGCATCTACGCGTCGGGCGAGCCCGTGGGCTTCCTGCCCTTTGAGGACGAGGCCCCGTTCCGGCACTCGGGCTCCCGCAGGTCGCTGTACGGGCTTGAGGGCTTCCAGGACCTGGGCGAATACTACGACTACCACCGCGAGGGCGATGACTACTACGACCAGCAATCGCTGTACCGGTACGAGGAGGAGCAGGAGCCCCTCCAGGGCGCCTATGGCCCCCACGGCCCAGCCTGGCCGCCCTATGACTACGCGCACCGGTACGTGCCCGAGAACCCCTACGACTACTACAGCCCCGACTACTACGGCAGCTCCTTCTACCCCGACTACACCTTCGGCTACGGCTACGACGACTACGAGCCCCCCTACGCGCCCCCGTCGACGTTCGCGTCTCCCTACGGCTACTACGACGCCTATGCGGGCGAGGTGCACCCACACAGCTACTACCCGGAGACCTACGCCCCACCCGAGGCGCTCTACCCGCCGTACCCACCCTACGACCTGGCCTACGATCTCCCGTATGCTGCACCCCACCTGGATCCCTATGGGGTGCCCCACCTGGATCCCTACGCGCAGCCCTACCATGTCCCCATCGCGGAAGGCACCTACGGTGGGGCCCAGGCAATCTATCCCCCCGAAGAGCCCTATCTTCCGCCCCAGCAGTCGGCCTTCGCGTACCCGTGGGTGCCTCCACCCATTCTGTCACCTCACAACCCATACGCCCACCCGATGGATGACATAGCGGAGCTGGAGGAGCCCGAGGAGGCAGGCAGCGAACAGCCGGGCACCTCTTTCCGCCTGCCCAGCGCCGCCTTCTTCGAGCAGCAGGGCATGGACAAACCTGCCAGGTCCAAGCTATCCCTCATCCGCAGGTTCCGCCTCTTCCCGCGGCCCCAAGTGAAGCTGTTCGGGAAGGAGAAGTTGGAAGTGCCCCTGCCGCCCTCCCTGGACATCCCTCTGCCCCTGGGGGATGCAGATGAAGACGAGGAAGAGGACGAAATGCCGCCGCTGTCCCCGGTGCCCTACGGCCACCCCTTCTGGGGCTTCCTCACGTCGCGCCAGCGCCACCTCCAGCGCGCCCTTTCGGCCTTCGGCGGCCCCCGGGGCCTGGGCTTCAGCCCGGACTTCGGCCGTCCCGCACCACGCCCGGCCACCTCGCTGGCGCGGTTCCTCAAAAACACCCTGTCAGAAAAGGAGCCCATCCCGCGGCTCAGGGGCAGCCAGAAGGCCCGGGTGCGAGGCCCGGCGGTCAGGGAGGCAGCTTACAAGCGCTTCGGCTACAAGCTGGCGGGCATGGACTCCGAGCAGCCCAGCACGCCCATCGTGCTGCGTAGGGCGCAAGCACGCGCGCACAACAACAACAACTCCCACCGCCCTGCGACCCCGCCGCGCACCCCACGTCTGGGCCCCTGCCCCGGCCCCGGCCCAGGGCCCACTCCAACCCTCGCCCCGCCCCTCGGCCTGGCCCCGGGCCTGCCCCCGGCCGTCTCGCCTTACAGCTCCCTCCGCCTGCACCCGCCACCCTGGGCCGCCCCGGCTCACGTGCCCCTCCCACCCCAGGCCAGTTGGTGGGCCTTGGCAGAGCCCCCACCCCTGATCCCCGAGGGGCTCCCCGACCCACTGGCCTTCCCCGGACCACGGCCGTCCTTCAGGGGCTCGCGCCGCCGGGGGGCTGCCTTCGGCTTCCCTGGACCCTCGCCCCGACCCTCACTGAGGAGCCGGCCTGGCTTGGGCTACTGCTCACCCCTGGGGCCCCTGTCCCCACAACCCTCCATCCGTGCCGTCCCCTTCCGGCCGCCCTTCTCACCACCACCCCGCCGTCCCCGCTCGCTGCGGGAGCCCCCATCCCCACACCGAGCCTCGCCAAGCCCTGGTGCACTCCGCTCACCTTTGCTGGCCCCCCCGACGCCGCCCTCGCCGCCCCCTCTGCTGGGTCCCCGCCTGCGGCACCGCTCGCTCAACCTACCCTCGCGCCTCCCGCGCACGTGGCGCCGCCTCAGTGAGCCGCCCACCAGGGCCGTAAAGCCCCGGCCCCGCCAGCCCTTCCTGCTGCAGCAGGGTCCTGGGTCTTGGCAGGCGGCTGCTGCTGCCCCTGAGCGCCCGGAGAGCCAGGGCGAGACTGAAGACTCAGAGACACCCTGGACGGTGCCCCCGCTGGCCCCGAGCTGGGATGTGGACATGCCTGCCATCCAGCGTCCACCCTCACCCTGGCCCGGAGGCCCTGGCAATCTCCGTGGCTTCTCCAGGCCACCCCCTGTGCCCTCAAGCTCCTTACTCCAGCGCGGGGGCCCAGTGCCCTCCGCTGCTCTCCAGGCTGAAGACCCAGCCTCTGACTCAACCCGCGTTTTCCTGGGGAGACACCAGGACCCAGGGCCTGGACAGCTGACCAAATCAGCCAGCCCCAGCCCCAAGAAGCCTGAAGAAGAGGCCTGCCCAGGGGACGCCCAGACACCAACAGAGCCTGAGCCCCCAGCCCCAACACCCTCCAAGGATGCTCCCTCAGATCGGAAAGCACTGAGGCTCAGTCTCTCCAACCCACTGGCTGCTTCTGACCAGATGAGAGCCACATGGCCACCATGGCGCCGGTGGGGGACGCTGCCCAGTGCCCCAGCCCCCTTGGTGCCCACAGTGGCCCTGGGACCCCTGCCCAAGGCAGGTGAACAGCTCCAGGCAAGTCCTGGGCGTTTTGCAGTGGTCATGCCTCGTGTACAGAAGCTGAGTTCCTTCCAGCGAGCTGGTCCTGCCCCTCTGCAGCCCCCTGTCCAGCTGACCCAGGAGCCAGAGCCCATCCCCAGGCCAAGAGCCTGGAGTCTGCTCTGGTGCCGCCTCTGGCTGCCTGTGGAGGCCCACCAACCCCAGCTGCAAGTACCCACCTGCTCCCTTTCCTGTCGCCTGGTCCCTGGAGCTGCCGGCCTGCCCCATGGGGGCCCCTCGGAAGAGGTTGGCACCAAAGGCTGGTGGAGCAAGGTATGGGGGCACAGGTGAGAGGGAGGGCTTGGGGTTCCTTCCTCGGAAACAGGGCAGGAGACATTCTCAGGACCTTGGAGAGCAGCTGCCTGCTTGGGCCTCAGTCTTCCTATCTGTAGCTTGGGGAGAACAGCCTCTTGGAGCTTCTGGAGGGTTGAATGAGGGGCTGGATGCCCGGCACAGGCAAGCAGAGGACAGAGACTCCAGAAACCCCTTGCAGGTCATGTGGAGGAAGGGATCTTGTCCATCCTAGGCTTCAAACAGCCCTGTCCCTGTCCGACCTGGAATGCACATCCACCTTCAGCTCCCTGCAGAGATCTTGGCTGAGCATGAAACTACAGACCCTGCCTACCACCCTGTCCCACCCCCATTCACATACATGCTGCTCCTCTTGCCAAACTGGGGTCTTTCCTCTCTTGGGGGCTCCTGCTTAAGGGCAGTCTCCTGGGCTGCAGGGCTCTGGACTGTCTCAATGTGAGGGCTTAGGACACAGGTTTCCAGCCTCTTTACTGCACGGGGCAGGCAGGTACCAAGACCCAGGGATCACATAGTGTTTCACGCTGAGCCAGGAGTCTGTCTAGGCCCCTGTAGGATGTGGGGCAGGCAGTCTGTCTGAGGGGTGCCAAGTCCGTGCTTGGCTGCCACACTTGAGGCGGAACGCGAGCTCCGTGCTGGCAGGCTTCAGTGGAGGGGGGTGGTCACTGGAGCCTCCCCCGGGAACGCCTGGGGTGGGCGGGGCATGCAGGGGCCGCGTGTTTCTCAGCCTCCGCAGACGGGGCCTGGTGGAGTGGGCAGCCAGTGGCCCATCCATGGCGACTGGGGCGGCTTGGCTGCTGGGGGGACCCTGGCCCCGGCGGCGGGTGCCCCGTGCCGTGTGGGCTGCGGCATTGCGGGAGCGGGGCACGAGGCGCCCAGGGGTCAGGGGCAAAGATGCCTGGGCCCTCCTCACCCTGGAATATGTGAGTGGCTGGCGCACCTGGGCAGGTGGGTGGGCGGGAGGCCAGGGACTCTGGGGTGATACCTAGTGTGCCCTACTTAGCACGAGGGCCGCCTCCCGTGTCCCCTTTCCTCGCCTCTCTGGTGGAGGGGTGTGGGCTGGATTCAAGAGGCAGGAAAGGCAGGTGCCCAGCTGTGCTCTCAGTTACGCGGGTCACGTGCAGGCCTGGGACAAGTGCTCAGGCCCAGCACAGCCAAACATGGAGAGCACATGAGTGCATGTCCCATGGCCCAGGCAGACGTGGCATCCTCAGGCCCACTGTGCACCCTAGATGTGCACAGAGGAGGCCCTGCTGCCCAGAGCGGGCATTGGGACTTTTGTTTTGAGACCCCCAGATGTGGGGACATGGCACACAGAAGAAACTGTCAAATGGATGTTAAGAGTATATGCTGCACATGTGTGCCCCCATCTATGGACCAGAGGCCGGCGTGCATGTCCACAGGCACCCTGCAAGACTGCGGGGGCTGGGGGAGAGCCTGAGTGGCAGGCAGTACTGAGCCCAGGTCTGTGTGTGTGGATCTGAGTTTGCTCAGCGCTGGTCATGGGGTGCGGTGTCAAATGGGAAAGTCCTGGTCCTTCGAAGGGCCCCAGGCAGCAGACATGGATGTTTATCTAGTCATCACATAAGCCAACTTGGGCATCACCCTGGAGAAGAGGATCAGCCGCAGAAGCATTTGAGGCGGGAGGCCTTGCTCCTACAGGCATGTGCTCACCTCCTGGGCAGGACCCTTGGGAACATGTGGGAGCACTGACGCCGGACGTGGGTCCCTGGACTAAGGGTTGCATTCCGAGGCAGGGGTTCTGCAGGACCCACCCAACCTGGCCTCAGGGTTCCCTCTCCTGAAATGTGAGTGGGTCCTGGTTGTGTCCAGGCCATGGGGGCCGGGGGGCCATGCACAGCTGACCGCTGGTGTCTCCTCCAGATGCACTCCATCCGCAACCTCCCGTCCACACAGCTCCGCGAGCAGCAGCAGGAGGATGGTGTGGAGGACATGACACAGCTCGAGTGAGTGTTCCCCCTGGTCACCATGCTCCCAGCCAGACCACTGCCTCTTGCCCAGGCACCCCTCACCTCCTGGAACGTACCCTCCTCTGCAAAGCGAGGGTCAGGCAGTGTCACAAAAACCCGATAATTTGGAGGGGCTGTGTCCAGACCCCAGCCCTGGCCTTTACCAGCTGGGCCCAGGTGGTTACTCAGCCTTTCTGCCGTGGTTTCTCACCTGCAGGATGAGGGGAGGCTGTTGTGGGGTTCCGGCACAGTGGAGATGCCTGAGATGTGAAGGCTGTGCTGGTCAATATCATTATCCAACCATGGGGACAGTCCTTACGTCTGCTACTTGAGAGCATTCCCACCTCAGAGATGGGACAGTGATTGTCATGCCCATTGGACAGATGGAAAAACTGAGGCACAGAGAGGTTAAGTAACTTGCCCAAGGCATCATGGTTAGTGTCAGAGATGGGACTTGAACTCTAACCTCTCTGACGAAGGCCCTGCCCCAAGGGGAAGGTGGGCCCTGACTGCCCCCTCCATGCCTTTGCAGAGACCTCCAGGAGACCACCGTGCTGGCCAATCTCAAGACCAGATTTGAACGGAACCTCATCTATGTAAGGCCTGGGGCTGGCCCCTCCCTGGGCTGGGATCTGAGGGCCATGGCTCCCCTGCCTTCTGGGGCTGCAGTGGACAGATGGATTTCTCCTGCCCAC